TCTGGGTCCACTGGTGGAACCTCTTCTAACCGGTTCAGTAGATTTGACGAACCGGTTCTACTGAACTGGTGCGAACTGGTAGGAACCCACCTCTGGCCAGCATAATAAATATTCAAACAGGTCCCCGCAAAAAAAACATAAAACAAGAGGTAAAAAGGAATGAACGAAAAGTCAATAGATTATGCTATTTCTTGGAGTTGAACGGTGTAAGACAGGAGTGTCAAACTCAAGGCCTGCAGGCTGGATCCGGCCCGTGGGGTGTTTAGATCTGGCCCACGGGGCCACCCTGGAAACAGCGAAGGATCAGCCCACAGTGCAGAGGTGGGTTGCTGCCATTTTCCCCTGGATTGGGGTAACCAGTAGTGGTGGCGGAGGGAGGCTCCTCCCACCCAACCCAGACACTTCTGCGCAGAAGTGTCGTGCAAGCGTGTGCACACGAGCAAACCGGTAGTAAAATAAATTGCAACCCACCACTGCCACAGTGCCTCTGTCAGCAAAAATGGAGCTCAGGAGGACCACACACAGCCTTCCCGAGCTCCATTTTCACTTGGAGCACTTGGGCCACCACAGGTGCCCCTGAAACAAGTGAAATCAAGCTGGCCACCCCCAAGGTCAAACACAACCCTGACAAGGCCCTCAAGGAAATAGAGTTTGACCCCCCCATGGTCTAAGCCAATGTTTCTCAAACTGGGCAGCTTAAGAGGTGTGGACTTCAACATCCCAGAATTCCCCAACTCTTAAAATGATGAAGGATGGAAAACATTGGTCTAAAAGTGTTATGTCTCAGGGCAGCCATGGCATCAGCAGCTTGTTGGAATTCCATCTATTGGAAATGGAAGAACTTGACACAATAGCCAGATATGGGAGATTCCATTCTATACCCTACAATGAGCCTCTCTGCATTTGCAGAGTGGCAGAGGTAGAAGACCTGGCTCACAACCTATTTGATGGTTGCTTGTATAAGGGGGTGAGAGGCAGGTACCTTGGTCCATGTACCAAATGAATGAGCCATTGGGGTCCCCATATTAAAACAACTTACTTTATGCATGGCCAGAACCTGAAAATATCATTTAACACAGCACAGTACTTAAACAAAATGGTTCAGTTGAGAACTGCATATGTAGGACTGATTGGGGTAGATTGTAAGGGTGATACCGAAATATAATTTTATGTCATTTTATTCTATTTTATATATTTATGTATTAAATTATATTGTATCTTATCCCATTACTATTGTATTTTACCTTACTTTTATTTTAAATTGTATAAGGTTTTATTGGTGAGATGTGTTTGAACCTTGTGTTTTGATATGGCCTATAGGCTAATCAATAAAGTTATTGTTAGGCCTGCAGTCATATTCCTTTTAGGATCTTTGGCCTGCCACACACTATTATTTTACTGTGCTGTTTCATTAGTGGGGTAATTGGGAGGGGGAATAGTAAGGAGTAGAATTGTAGAATGTGTTGTTGTCAAAATAAAACATTCCTTTCTAGAAGCCCAAGGTCATCCTTTGTCTCAACACCTCTGCACCTGACCGGAAGTGAAT